TGAACTCAGGTCCCCACACATGCTAAGCAAATGCTCTACCACTGAGCTATATTCCCAGCATAGTCAGGATCTGGTCATCAACACCAATCTCATTCAGAGTTTACTTATATTCATTTGAATGTATACTTAGTTCTGTGTAATTTTATCATCTATGTAGGTTAGTCTGTCCCTATCAGTTCATTATCACAAGGATCCCTCTGTTACCCTCTATAACCCTACCCACTGAAGGAGAGGAGGCCTCCCTTGCAGCTGGCAGCCACTACTCTGTTCTTCACTCCTTATTTTATCATTCAAGAATAGAATTATGAACTACACAGCCTTCTGAGATTGACTTTTCCCCTTCAATCTAATTCCTTTGATGTTGCACGTATCTATAATTTTTCCCTTTTGTTGCTGAAAGGTATTCCATGGTGTGGATGCATTCCAGTTTACTTACCCATTCACCAAGTAGAGGACATTGTGGTACAGATTTAGCTTTTTAAGAAACTGCCAAACTGTTTTCCAGAGTAGCTGTATCAGTTAATATTTCCACCAGTCATATAAGAGGGATCCAGTTTCTCTTATGTTCTTACCAGTATTTGGTGTCACTGATTTTTGTTCTAGCTATTTTGAGAATGGTCTTTCACTGTAGGTTTAATTTGCATTTTCCTAATGACTAATGAGTTTGACCATCTTTTCATGTGTTTATTTGCTACCTCTGTATCCTCTTCAGTGAAATATTTGTTCATATGTCTTACCCATCTGAGAGTTCTTAAATATATTAGGTACTTGCTCTTTGTCAGATACATGGTTTGCATATATTTTCTCTGTTTATATCTTGCCTTTCATCCTCTTAATATGATATTTCACAATGCAAATTATTTTAACTTTGTCGAAGTCCTGCTTACCAATTTTTACTTTTATGAATTGTGCTTTTAGAGTTGAGGATTTACTTAACCCTAAATCCCAAGGATTTTTGTTCAGTTTTTTTCCTAAAAGGCTAAGTTTAAGTTTTGCATCTATTTTGAGTTAATTTAGTAGAAAATTAAAATTATTTTAATTGTAGTACAATCACATCTCAGTCACTTAGATTCATAGTACCTGTAAGCTGTTGATGACCTGATGTCAAAGTAGGATCATTGCAGCTTTTCTTGAGGAGCTGATGGGTTTGTTGTAGCTACTAAAACTTAATATAAAAATTGAATCAATCAAGCTTTTGGCTGCTGAATATTTCTTTAAAAAAATTAAATCTTTGTTTGCATTGGTAAACTGCATAGTAATTAACCTTGAAAATGATTGGGGATTGGTATTCTATTTTATGGTATGCCCGGTAGAATAGAAGGTCAAAGATTAGGCTGTATGAGTTACTGCTTACTCTTAGGAAGTTTATTCACCTGTCATTCTGGGCTTTGTGGCAGCAGAGGAAATTTGAAGAACCCGACTTGCCTTCTAACTTGTCTTGGTACCTTCCTAGGCAGCCAGGAGTGGGAGTCTACTCTTCCCTGTCAAGAGGCATGTTCTGTAGATACCAAGAGATGCACTGCTTGTTCACTTGTCCTGATTTGACCCCTCTAGTTATTTACTCCCTTTCCAGACTAGACAGACCTCTCTTGTTTACTATGTATGAACAGTTTCAAAGCCTCACAGCATCCAGAGTGGCCTGCTGCTTTGTTCTCATTTCTTACAAGCTTGGTGTCTGAAGGGTATGCCTTCTTCCAGGCCAGCATGGTAATGCAGCTTGCCATGTGCCAACCTCAGAGCAGGCACTTCTGGAAAAAAAGTAGTTGGTTCATCCCCCTAGTTTGCTTTTTCAATTTTCATCCTTTCATTTAACACCACAATTGTTTTAAAAAGAAAATCTACAGTTTTCAATTTTCAACAGGCTACCCATATTTATTTTAGTGCAGATTTATTTGGTCTCTCATAAATATTTTAAGAAGCAGTGTAATTAAGAAAGGTTTATGTTTGATTTGGTCCCAACAGAAGCAACCTAGCAACTGGTCCTCATTCATTTGTCATCTGCCTGGCCATTAGTCTTTTGTGACCCCATCATTTCTCTTCTGTTTACAAAGAGTCCATTTGAGTCTGGGTTGTTTGTTTTTTGTGGTTCTGGGAATTGAACGTAGGGGTACTTTACCACTGAGCTACATCGCTACTCCTTTTTATTTTTTATTTTGAGATAATGCCTCACTAAGTTACTGAGGGTCTCACTAAATTGCTGAGACTGACCTCAAACTTGCTACCACACCTGGCTTAAATCTGTATTTTTAGTTTAAAGTTTACAACTTTTCAGCTTGATTTCTTTCTCATAGCACAGGGTCCTACCATGTCAGAAAGCAGGTTATTTTCTCTCTGAAATATTTATTTATTGATGCTCACTTTCGTTTGTATGCTGGAAAGATTGCACTGTACAAATTTGTCCTTTATGCCCATAGAAATGATCAAATAGCAAATTCATTTTCCTTTATGGTAAAATTTAAGAATTTATGACCCATAGAAGTATCATTGGAAGTATTTTTATTGATGTAGGATTGAAATAAAAATAGTTTCATTTGTTGCTAAAATTTTTAATGAGTTGAGCATATAATATTGATTGAAGCCTAAAAGATTCTATTTTAAAGTGTCAGTAGTTTTATTGAGAAGAAATGTTATTGTTAAAACTAAAAAAATAAAGAAAAATAAGTATGATAAAATTAGAAGTAGATAAAATTTGAAGTAGAATATGAAAACCAATTTCTGATATATGACTGACAACAGCTGAGGTGATGATTTTATTTAGGCTATCACAATAGGAAGAATGTTCTTCAGTGGGAAACCTCTCAAGGAGGAGGAAGAGATTTTTATAGAACAAAGAAAGCGGTGTACCACTCAACACCTGTAGTTCTAACCACTAGAGTCTCAGGCAGGAGGATCTAAAGTTAATGGCGAGCCTTGGCGACTTAGAGAGACCCTCACCTTAAAAAAAAAAAAACAAAAAACTAAGGAGTCATGAGGGGAGGATAGAGGTAGGTCCTACCTGGGAATAAGGACAGGGGCCAATCCTTCCTGCTTGGCTTCTTCCTGGAATACAAAGGGGCACAGTGCTCTTAACTATAGCTGCTTTCTGGGAGCACAGTGCTCTGATAAAATTTAATGCTATCAGATGGAAAAAGATTATCATTAGATATATTAATCAATCATCTTGAATGTATATTGCAGCTTGAAAATAGGAGTCAGAGAAAACTTACCAAAGCTTTGTTCATAATTTTAAAATCTATAGGTTTCTTGTATTTATCTCTGTATTAGAGGTCTGAAACAGGACAGCTTTGTCTGGTGGGGTGGCCAACAGTTGAAATTTCTTAGAAGCTAAATAGGGGGAAGAAGCCAGTGTAAAGAGGTGGAAGACCACAGCTAGGTTGGTGGGCCACACTGTAGAAGTGAGGTCCAATGTAAGTGGTCATCTTCAAAGTCTCTTCCGAAGAAGGAGGTTAAAGATGGGTCCAGCATTTATACACAGGTCAAGATGGAGAAGAAAAGATTTTGTTAAAAGGTAAGGTTTAAGAGGACAAAATCATGACCCATATAAAATGAACAATTATTACATATTTTACTAAACTCTTTAGTTCATGAGGGAATCAGGCAGATGTCACAGCCCATTTCAGGAAGAAGTAAGAGAACCATGAGTTAATATGGAGTAAAGGAATATTAAAATGTTTACAGGTAGAAGCAAAACCTTTTCCACTGGGGAAGGGTTGCCCCTCCACCATAAAATTATTTATTTGTCTATGGATAAGAATTACTTGCATTTGTATCAATTATCTACAATTAAGAGATGCAAAATAGCTCAAAGGCAATGAAAGGGTCAGAACCCCCATAGGATCAGGTCATTCCCAGAGGCACCAGTATTCCATTAGAAGGATATTCAGTAAATCTTTGCTTATGCCAAAGTCTTTATACAACATGCTTCCTCTGATATTGATCCATCAGTCAGTGGCCCATATTCTGTGCCTTAAAAGTCCTTTCTGATCTTAAATGTCCATTTCCTTCCTCTTCCTGGTCTTCATCATGTCAGGGAAGTCCTAGACAACTGGAATGTCTAAATTTACGTCTAGCTACAAATACAGTTTGCTCATGTTTGGATTACTTTCACTTCATATTTTGTCTTTTTCTTGAGACATTTGAAAATTTTTTTAAATAGGTGAAAATTAAGACTCTTGCCATTATCTTATGTTCTAAATTGGAACTTAATGAGCAATAGCTATAATATCGTTTGGCCATATAGCAATCTAACCTCACATTTTCATCTATAAATTGGAGGTTAAGTTTAATGAATTTTAGTTATCCCAATGAACTGGGGCGATTTTGCCCCTAAGGGACATTTGACAATGTCTGTAGACATTTTTGGTTGTCAGAATCTGGTGGGTGAGGCTGGGAGTGCTTTGGAATGTAGGGGTAGAGGTTGGGAATGTTGCCTAACATCCTACAGAGCCCAAGACAGCTCTTGACTACAGAGAATCTAGCTACAAATGTAAACAGCACTGAGCCCTGGCAACCCATTGAGCAGTGTTAGAAGAAAGTTGATGTTTTTGTTGTGATAAAATCACCCTTAATTTTTTGCCCTTAAGTCTATATGGAAAGCATACATTTTACTGTTATAGTCTTTTTGGGGGCTGGGGGCGTGCCAGGGATTGAACTCAGGGGCACTCAGTCACTGAGCCCACATCCCCAGCCCTGTTTTTTATTTTATTTAGAGACAGGGTCTCACTGAGTTTCTTAGCACCTTGCTTTTGCTGAGGCTGGCTCTGAATTCGTGATCCTCCTGCCTCAGCCTCCGGAGCAGTTACGATTACAGGTTTGTGCCACCATTCCTGGCTCATTATTATAATCTTAAAGTGATGTTCTTATTATGAATTTCCATATTAGAAATTCAGCGACCAATATTACCCTTACTTGAGACTTTGTGGTTAAGTGGAAACAACAGTTGTCTTTCTTTTGTAATATAAATATTACACTCAGTATTAAAATTACTTCTTCTATTTTAGGCTTTACTGAAGAAGCATTGTAGAGATTCATCACATTTCTAAGATATCAGTATTTACAAATTGGAGTTATCAGCCATCTTAAAGATTGATGTTGGATATCAAAATGAAAACCTTCTGTGAAGTTTTAGAACAGTTATACAAAAAAGTACTTTCTGGAACCATACTTGAAGATGACAGCCATGATTATGTCTTTTACCTCAACCCAGCACTTTCAAACCAAGATTGCTCTGCAGCCAGTTCCTTAGAATGGCTGAACACCGATGCTGTGCCGTGCCAGCATCAGCTGCCCTCCATCAGGGTGTCTACCATTCCTGAAGCACCTGTTTGTGTGAAGAGACACTCTCAGATGAGCGATGCCCGAGAGATGATGCTCCTTCAGTTAACTGTGATCAAAGTGATGGTAACCAGGATATTGTCTGTTGAAACTGAGATCCATGCAAAAGAGAAATACAGAGATGTAATTAAAATTCTTTTACAATCAAATGAAATTGATTCTAAATTGGTAAGCCAATTTTTATCGATTTTGAAGACCTAAGTATTTAAAATAAATGTTTTAAGAACATTCAGTAGTAGTGATTACATGTATTTGTTTGGTTGTAGATCTGCATGTTCCAAAATTCAGACAAATTGTTGTCTCACATGGCCGCAAAGTGCCTTGCGTTGCTTCTGTATTTCCAGTTGAGAGAAAAGGTAAGCTAAGTGATCAAAGTATGTTATTATTTCTCTTCTAATACTTTCAAAGTTGTTCTTTGACACTTGATTTTACACCTTCAGGTATTTGCATTAATCAAGTATTTGCTTACGTAATAACATGAAGTCCACAAAAATCTAAGAATCTAATAATACAATGGTGGCTTACATCAAGAATTAAAGTCTTAAATACATTATAAATTATAATAAATCAGATTCTTAACCTTAAAAGGTGGGTTTCACATCAGAGGCCATAACTTTCTTCACATTCTCAAGAAAGTAGGTTAGACCTCTCTCCACAAGAAAGGCTTAGGCACCTCTGTTTGAGACTAAGCCTGTTTTCAGAGGCTAATATAAATTAATTTTGAGAATGGTCCTCAGCATAATGGAAAAAATATATCGATAAATTTAGAATCCGGTTATCCTCTTATCTGTGAATTAGTTAATAAGCAATTCTAAGCATCTGCTGACTTCTTTCAGCTATAAATGATTTGTTTCCTTCTTAAAATAACATTGTTTTCTGATTATAAAAAGATGTTATTGGTAGTAGGAAATTTGAAAAATGTGACAAAGTAAAAAGAACAAAATAAAAGCTACACATCGTTCTACCACCTAGAGATAAGACTGCTAATATTGGCATGTTTCCTGTATTTCTCGGATATATTGATTTTCTTCACTTAAAGAATATTAGGATGTTTTACTTCCTTCTTGTTTAACCAAATGTTATCATGCTTTTTTTAGGCAAACAAGTAAACATAGTTGTGTTGTGAATAATAGGTAATTTATGATTATAAAGAAAGTACTAAATCATAAGATTTTTTTATTTCTTCCTTATAGATAACGTTAAGTAATTCATGGATTGCTTTTTGCCAAAAAAATCTTTCTGGATATTCTGAGAGTGATGAAGCAATACATTGTCTCTGGACTCTTACAGCGGTAATGAAAGAAATCTTTAAAGATGCCTGTTCAGAAAAAGCAGGTACACATTACATTGCCCCATAAATAGTCATCATCTAACTTCCAGGAACATTATATTTATAATCAAGAAAAAAAACTTACTTATAATCTGTCTTGAAGTATAAAAAACAGAAAAAATCTCTCCATATTTTGTGTGTATGCCTGCGTGTGTGTGCACATGCCATGGGGTTCAAATCTAGGGCCTCCTACACATTAGGCAGATACTCTACCACTGAGCTACATTCCCAGCCCAAGGATAACTTTTTTAAAAAGAAAAAAAGTTACAAGGAAAAAAATAAAGCTTTTACTTATTATCTGCTGCTATTGGTGTTTGTAAAGTGAATGTTAACCATGGTTAATAACTGTTAATCTCTGTATTCTCATTTGTTCATACTCTAGGTAAATATTCCAAACCTCTTTTCTCTTATGAAGTGATATTTACAAAAATTGAATTATAAAATTGCATTTTAAGAAGCTTTGTTTTCCCTATTGTTTATAATTACTTTTTGTATAATTGCAGAAATTTTAAAGCAGTTCCTGACTCCTTTTGATAGTACTCTTGAAGTGTTCTATGATTCCTTATTCGCTCAGCATTTTGAAAATTGTCAGAATCCTTCTAGAATAATAAACAGCTTGGTATGTTTCCTGGAATTGCTCGAACTTCTCATAACCTCCAGAATCTACCTGAAGTTAGATTGCAGGAGCCAAAGGATTTTATTTTTGAAACCTTCTTGTGTGCTAAATGTTCTGACCTGGCCTATTCAGGCTTTTGTCAAAAGAAAGTTGATCATTTTCATCAAAAAGTGCCTTCTCTATAAAGTGGGCGAAGACCTCTGTCGTGGCTCAGTTCCTGCCGTGATATCGCCAGATCATCACTTAGACACGGACATGTTGGCTTTAGCTAATGCTGTTTTGCAAGCTGTGCATCTCGGGTTGTTGAAGACATTGTCTGTTCATAGAAAACCTTCCTGCTTTGGAGGTGATGAAGTTCAGCCTGGATGTGCATATCTCTGTGGTCCAGATCATGTGATCCTTAGAGCAGCAAGTTTAATTACAATGAAATCCTTAGAAATCAAATTTCAAAGTGATACCTCAACAAATGAAATGAAAGGTAATTCTCCAAACCCCCTTTTTTTTTGTGCAAACTAATGTATAATTATTTACTTCAGTAAAATAATTCTTAATTATCAAATCTCAGGACTAGTATAAATTCCATTAATTTAAGATTTTTCCCCCAAAAGAAATAACCTTAAGGAACATGCCAGCTTTTTGTGGGCTAACTGAATGTGTATAGCATAATAAAAGACTTCAGCCAAAAAAAAATTACTCTCAAGTCATCTCATAATAAATGATAGAAGTCAACTCATATTCAAATATTTGTATTTTATTTATATTATCATTCATGAATATAGTATTATCTACTTATGTGGATTGTTGATAATTAGAAATCAAATTAAAACTAAAGTATGAGAAGTTATATTGATGAAGAAATTGTTGCATATAATTTCCAAGATGATAAATCAAGTGTTCAAAGAAAGCCTTATAAAGTATGATTTTCAGTGTAGGTGTTGGAGAATACATGTCCTCTATTTCATTTGAGAAAAATGAATAGTAATTGTCTACCAAACAGCCTACTGTGAAAAGCATAAATTGTAAGCAGTGACTTTCCTGGACTGCTTTGGATATCATTGAGCTTTTAATAACTACTTATTAGTTATAATTTTTGTAGTTACAATTTGGAACACTAGGTGGCATCTATTGTATAATTCATAGTTTAAAAATTCCATAAGCCTTTTTGATATTTTTTGCTTAATATTAAGCAGAACTTTCTTTTCATGCTTTAATAAACAAACAAAAAATATTTTCTGTTATTTTGAAGGAAAAATTTGCTTGGTTGTATTGTCTCTAGTAAAAAGCAACTTTGGTATCCAGTGAAAAGACCTTTTTTCATCATTTATGTATATGCTTTTATCAAGAGATCACCATGTAATTTTTTTCTCAGCTGTATTATAATTACTTATTTGTCACTTGTGCCAAATAGACATATAGCCATTTTTAAATGCATGCTAACATTTTAAATGCATCTTTCTAAATCACTTTTTTCTCTGAGCCTCAGTTTCCTCATTATAAAATAGAAATACTCCCTAATTTATATAACTTTTAGAAGGTGTGAATTATGATCTAGCACTTTAAGGTACTTTATTAGAAATTTGTATATAGGCAAGGTATTATTAATGTATTCATAAACTATTGCCTACACTTTGAAACTTGCATTTTTTGAAGTTGATTTACACAGGTTCATGTCTGAGTTACTGACCTTCTTAAAGCCTCACCTTCAGCCCTCACTGCAACTACATAATCCATGTGAATGGCTGTCCAGGGTATTCATAGAACAAGACGATGACATGCTGGAGGCTGCCAAGGCATCAATGGGCATCTACCTAAAGTTGACCAGGTTAGTGAGTTTAAAGTAATTATTGAACTATCCGCAAGCCAAAAGGCAGGAAACATTTCAGAAAATGTGCTGAGTGTATTATTTACCTTCCATCAATTGGATGGTGGATCTTGTGGTTTCCTCCTAAGTTCCAATTCCTTTCTTTAATCTTGCCTTACACGCAAACAAGATTACATTTGTATTATTATGATAACTTGGCAGACTGGGCAGGGATGTAGAACTAGGCTGGAATCTGAAAACCTGGGTTCCTATATAGTCTGCACGTCTGCTTTACCTGTGTAGTTAGGGGTAAGCTAATTCACTTCTGTGAATCACATTTGATGGGTATGATCATTATTCACCTCTGAGACTTACATTTCTGTATAAAACTTCTGTAAGATATTTTTTTTTCCTTTATAAAAATAAGTACTGACTTATAAATAATCAAAGGAACAGTTCTATATTTTCACTGTAATCTACAGCCACATTTTAACTTATACTTTCTTAAGGCAAGTATTTAAAATTAATTTTGAATTTTGTTACTGGTGACATTTCATACTGACTCTGTTTCTACTTTATTAAAACAGCTGCACTTAACAGCAATATCTTCTTGTGGCAAATATCTATAATTGCTTATGAAATTAATAACTGATGACCTTTTCCACCATTTCTGTTCTGCTTTATTAAAACCCTAAAGTATTTGCTTTATTTCCATTTCTTTCTTGGCCTGGGAGAAAGGGATTTCTCACTAATGATCGGCGGTGCAGCGTTGTGCTGCCAGTACTTGCTGTGTTATGACACTGCTGGCAGTGGCTGCTTTCAGACCAAGTGTTTGAGGCCAATTTTCAAAAGGTTCTAATCAAGAACACAAAATTCCTGCATATGATTTGAATTAGGCTCAAAAATGGTAAAATAAAAATTCATACTGAAAATGCACAGGCCTATAAGAGCATATCTTAATTGTATTCAAAGTTGACTTCTTAAGAAAGAGGAAGCCTCTGAATTAAATTTGCTTTATATGTGAATTTCTCTGTTCATTTCAGTTCAGTGTCCTTAACGGCATATACTTATGGCATACATACTTTCAAAAAATATGTAGTTATATTAAAGATTTTTTTGGTGGTAAATGATGGAAATCAACTCAAACTGATTTAAACAAACAAAGGATTTATTGGCTCACTATGAGGAGTTCTTAAGGGATTTAGTTGGCATCAAGGATTTAAATTGTCATCAATTACTTCTCCTTTTTGGTATCTCACAATTCTGAATTAATTTTAGGCATTTGCCATTTGTAAAAGAGAAATATCTTCCCATATAATCCAGCTGCACTTTTGAAGTTGCTAGAAAGTACAGAGGCACTGTGTAATAAAAGTGTGAGCTCTTTGTGAAACAGTAGCATTTGACTTCATGAATTGGTTTTCCTCAATATAAATTGTGTCTCAATGATATAATAGTTAAAAACAAAACAAACAAACAAAAAACCTCCACTAAAGGGTTTTCTAAATGAAGTCTTTCTTTTTGAATATTCTCCAAAGCAAGAATATTTTATGAGCTACTAGCAGCTCATCAGGTTTACCTCAGTCTTAGAATTATCACCTTTCATATCTCAAGTAAAAATCCCAGCAGAGATCTGAATAGCTCACTTGAGTCCCATATTCAGAACCAATCATTGTGGCCAGCAAGGAGCATGAGTGCACTGATGGGTCAGTCTGGGTTAATTGCCCACCTCTGCTGAGGAGAGTGGGGAACTGGTTTAGGTTCCAGCTCTACCACATAGAATTGGTTGCCCAAAAGAATGAAGGGTTCTGATGTCAGGATAAAGGATGGCAGGACTTCTGTTAGGCAGACAAAAAGTGGAAATGCCTAAGACAGTGGACTTTGTTTTATTAAGTCAAATTCTCTTAGAGTTTATGGGGAAAAGGATTGGTTTTGAACTTTTTTCTTTTAAAGTTATGGGTAGATTAAAAAGTAAGGTGACAGGTGAATATGTGGCATGTGAATTAAATCTGTCAAAACTGTTATGTTTATAAAAAGTCATTAATCCGAGTTCACCATTACCTTCATTTTCAGAGAATGTGAGGCTACCAAAAGGTTGACCCAAGAAAAGGAAATGTGGATCCGTCACACCCATGAAAATGGTTATAATCCTCACTGTATTTTCTTATTCTTCCTAAAAAATATAGGATTTGATTCTACAGTTCTTCTTGACTTTTTGATTTCATCAGAAACCTGTTTTCTTGAATATTTTGTTAGGTATTTAAAATTACTGCAAAAAGACTGTGATAATTTTTTCACTATCTGTAAGTTCTTTGATGCATCTGAATCTCAATATGGCATAAATATTTGTGGTTGTGTCTCCTCACTAGTCCAAGACAGAAGCACCAACCCCATACTGCCTCATCATCTGAATGCTCCTAATAGTCACAAAAAGGGACACGCTTGGGTCCCCAGGGCTTCTGGTGATTCTTCTGAACCACTGAACCAGGTTGTGATATCCAAGGAAACCCATACCATGGGGGATCATAGTCTGTCTTCCCCCCAGGCGTCTCACAGTCTGGTAGATTATGAAGACTCTGATGATTCTGAAGCAGAATCCACAGACCAGTGTTTAGTAAAAAGTGAACAAACAACTTTACACCAAGAAGCAATTAAGAAAATTCAGGACCCAGCTGGGTTAAGCAGGGATAAAAAGGAGTTTAACCATGAGCCTCAATCATGGCCTCTGATTGCAAAGGAATCTACTACTTCCTTCATTGATTGTGAAGCAGCCCCAAATAACACTGTCTCTGAAGCAAGAATATTTTATAGAATAATAAAATGCTTCAAAGAGCTACAAGATGCCATTTGCCGTTTGCAAAAGAGAAATCTCTTCCCATATAATCCAGCTGCACTTTTGAAGTTGCTAAAAAGTACAGAGGCACTGTGTAGTAAAAGTGTGAGCCCTTTGTGAAACAGTAGCATTTGACTTCATGAATTGGTTTTCCTCAATATAAATTGTGTCTCCATGATATAACAGTTAAAAAAAAAAAAACCTCCACTAAAGGGTTTTCTAAATGAAGTCTTTCTTTTTGCCTATTGGAAGCAGCCTAGTGCCTGAAAAGATGCATCAAATGCCATATCACTTGATATAATTGTATGCCTCTTGAAATTGATGGTGATTCAAGCATATACAATTTGGGACAGTTAATTGTATTAGTTTCCTAGGGCTGCCATAACAAATTACTACCTACTTAACAACTTAAAACCACTAAAATGTATTCTCTCAGTTCAGAGGGCAGTAAGTCCAAAGTAAGGTGTCATCATGGTCGTGCTTTCCCTCAAAGCTCTGGAGAAGAAACCTTCCCTGCTTCTGGTATTGCCAGCCGTCTTTGAGGTCCGTTGCTTTGTAGCTGCGTTACTCTAGTCTCTTGCTCTTGGCATGGCATGTGTGTCCATGTCCATTTTCCCTTTTATAAGGGCAACAGTTATTGGATTAGGCCTCATTCTAATCCAGCATGACCTTGTCTTAACTTGATTACATCTGCAAAGAACTTTTTCTAAATAAGATCATGCTTACAGGTTCCAGATGGACATGGATTTGGGGAATGAAGGTCTATTGTATGAACATGATCCACTGTATGAATGTGATTGTTTTTTAAAAATTTCTAGTTGACATATAATATTTGTAGATATTTATGTGGCACAGTATTATAATTGAATACATGTTTATAATGTATATTGAGCAAGTAAAGGTAATTACTATCTCCAACTCCTCAAAATTATCAATTCTGTGTTGTGAACCTTTAAATTCTTCTTTTCTACTTATTTTGAAATGTTTGTTGTTGTAGACTATAATTACCCTCCTGTGCTGTAGAACATTAGACCAATTTCCCCATCTAATGATTTTGTGGTACTCATTATTCAACCTCTGTCCCTCCTTTCCTCCTACTTTCCTAGTTTCTAGTGACCTGCGTTCTACTCTCTACTTCTATGTGATCAATTTCTTTAACTTCCACAAGAGTGAGAAAATGCAGCATTTGTCTTTGTCCTGGCTCATTACACTTAATATAAAGTCCTCTAGTTCCATCCATGGTGCTGAAAAATGACAGGATTCCATTATTTTTAATGAGAAAATATTTCATTATGTGTATACTGTGCATATATAATATACCTCTAATGCATTCTTTCATTGATGGATGTCTAAATTGACTACATATCTTTGCTATTATATACCATATTGCAATAAACATGTGCATGCAAGTATCTCTTTGATATACTGATTTCATTTCCTTTGGCTATATACCCAATGATAGGATTATATGGTAGTTCTATTTTCAATTTTTTAAGGAACCTCAATACTGTTTATGTTCCATAATGGCTGTACTAATTTACATTCCTGCCAATAGTATATAAGAGTTTTCGGTACATCCTCTCCAATATTTCTTTTTCTGTGTAAGAGTTTTCTGCACATCCTCTCCAATGTTTATTTTTCTGGTTTTGTTTTTTGTCTCTTTTGACAGTAATCATTTTAACTTGGGTGACATGTTATCTCATATGGTTTTGATCTGCATTTCTCTGATGTTTAGAGGTTGAACATTTTTTCATATACTGCTGGCCATTTGCATGTCTTCTTTTTTCTAATAATACTGGGGATTGAACTCAGGGATGTTTGACCATGGAGCTACATCCCCAGTTCTTTTACTTTTTATTTTGAGACAGGATCTCACTAAGTTATGGAGTTTTTTCCTAAATTGCTGAAGCTGGCCTCAAACTTGAGTCCTCTTGCCCTTGCCCTCCCCAACCCACCCTCGTTTCTAGGATTTTGTGTGTCTTTCTTTGAGAAAGATCTCTTCAGGTATTTTGACTATTTTTCTTAATTGAATTATTTGTTTTTGTTGTTTGTTTGTTTTGTTGTTGTTTGTGTTCTCTATGTATTCTGGATATTAGTCACCTGTCAGATGTATAGTTATTTCCCTTGTTTCACTTTTGTTGTATGTGCTTTTGGGGTCTTATCCAAAATATCCTAAAGCATTTCCCCTATTTTTTTTTTTTTTTTGTAGTTTAAAGTTTCCAGTCTTACATTTAGGTCTTTGCTCTATCGTGAATTGATCTTTGCATGTGGTAAGAGGTAGGGGTTTCATTCTTCTAAATTCTTCTAAATATGTATGTTCGGTTTTTCTAGTTATCATTTATTAAAAAGACTATCCTTTCTTCAATAACTGTTCTCGGCACCTTTGTTGAAAGTCAATTGGATGTAAACATGTGGATTAATTTGTGGAGTTGCTATTGGGTTCCATTGGTCTGTGTGCCAGTCCCATGCTGCTTTTATTACCATAGTTTTGCTGTGTGTTTTGATGTGAGGCATTGTGATGCCTCCAGCTTTTAAATGTGATTCTTCTAAAAATTTTTTGTAATCAGGTAATTTTCTGATTTAAAATTATTGTGGTATGTATAATTCTGTCTTTCTGAACAGAAGCAGTACATGGATTTTTTTCTTATGTTTATTAGATTTGTGTAATATGAGCAGCAACTGTGTTATGCTGGTGACTCTGTCATTAAAGCAATCTAAAATGATGTCCTTAAAATACTTTGTAAAAGTCCCCTTTGTAGAAAAATATAAGGAAGACTTAATCTACTAGACATTAAAGTTTATCTTCTGATTAATATTTGATTTAATATTGATTATATATGGTAATCAAAACAGTTTAATATTTATTAAGGTAGAAATAGAGAGGTCAGTGGAACTGAATAGAATATTGCTAATTAAAATAATGAGGTGCCCATGTTAATCAAATAGAAATGCAGAGGTCAAAAAGTTTGTTAAAAGTACACTGTTAGTAAAAATACACATTCATTCAGTTTCTACCATAAGTTATTTATTTTAATATTTTTATTTTTTGAAATGCCTAGGCTGATCTGGAACTTCTGGACTCAAGTGATTGTCCTGCCTCAGCCTCCTGAGGATCAGGAACTGCAGGTATATGCCACTATGCTTGGCTCTATCATAACTTAAAAAGCACATCAAAGAATGTGATTTCAAGGATGTTCAATGCCACATTGTAAAACACAAAAGACTTGAAATATCATTGGAATGTATACCTGTGAAAAGAATGAGTATATCCATGCTTATAGGTATGAAACATCTCCTGTAAAAATAGATGGATATAATGGGCACCCATTTATTTAGAAAAGTAGTGGGGCAGGAGTAATACACATCCATGTATTTATATAGTCATCCTTTGGTATCTACAGAGAGTTGGTTTCAGTACCTACACCATCCATACACACCTTGCCAAGATACCAAAATTCACAGGTATTTAAGTCCCTTATATAAAATGGCATACTATTTGCACATATCCTACCCACAGCCTTCTAGATTACTTATACCTAATACTATGTAAATACTATGTACATTGTGTTAGGAAATAATGACAAGAAAAAAGTCTATATACATTCAGTACAGATGTAATGTTTTTTCAAATATTTTCAATCTATTATGATTGAATCCATAATACAGAGGGATGACCATACAAAATGTGTATTTAAGAATGTGTAAGAGAAGCCAGGCATAGTGGTACATGCTTGTGACCTCAGGAGAATGTGGCAGGAGGTTTGCAAGCTAGGCTTAGGCTAGCTTCTTCAACTTAGAGAGACCCTGTCCCCCCAAAATAAAAGGGGCTGGAAATGTAGCTCAGTGGTAGAACATTTACCAAGCATGTACAAGGCCCAGGGTTCAATTCTCAATACTACCCCCAAAATATATATGTGTGTGTGTGTGTGTGTGTGTGTGTGTGTGTGAGAGAGAGAGAGAGAGAGAGAGAACACAGTAGTTACCTCGAGAGAGAGATCTGAAATGGATTTGACTTATCGTATTTTTTTGTGCTCTTTTGCTTGTAACTGGGTTAAAAAAAATTTTTTTAATAAAAAACTTGAGAAAAAAATGTTCCCTAGGATACATAAATATTGAATGAATTATAACTTTTACAAATGCAGATGTGTTTTGCGCCTACATTTCTTTATAAGGTTAATAAGAAACCACCGTCTTTATTGTACATAAAATGAGGGGAAAGCAATCTGGCAGGAGTGCCAAGTGTGTAACTGACTTTTGAGTGCACGTTAGTTCATTACACACATGCCAAGCCCTGCTGTTGCTGAAGGTGACCCTTGGTTATATGGTGACTATACTTGGTTTTTTAGAGCATCCACAAGCTGTTCTCAGATTAGGCCATAAAGGAACATGTAATGAGCAATATTTATCTACCTAGTGAGCTCCCAGGGGATTCCCAGAGGGCCATCTGTAATCCTTCTCCCAATAAAAAGCAAGTTAGCATAAAGTGTCATGAATATACTCTATTTAACTTGAAGCATAAAAGACACGGAAAAGCTGTTCGTGAGTATACAGAATGTTGAATTTTCGGAAATGGCATGACAGTGGAACCAGCACCCCAGTCAAAACACACTAGTGGTACCCAGAAGTCCCCCTTAGTTCTTCTTCCAGTCACTATCCACCCTTAAAGACAGCTATATCCTGAATGGAGGAAACATCAATTAGCTTTACCTGGTTTTTTTACTTTTATGTAAATGGAATCCTAGAGTATGTATTCTTTTGTGTCTGGCTTCTTTTCTTAGACCCTGGGAGTGTGTCCTGATTTATTTTTACAATGTCAGGTAGCCACATTTCATCTATTGTTAGTAACATGTGGCACACCCATTGTATTAGGATGGTGAGGTTGACAAACACTCACCAGACAATGACATGCAGACTTGTGCAATGGGCCCCAGCCTGTCTTTTCAGCCCCACCTGTGGTTCTTCCCTGCCATGGTTCTTAGCAACACAGCATTTGCCCTACATATTCATTCATGCCCCGTCTCAAATGTTAGGTCAGAAAGAATTCCCCATCTGTCCTGGACCATTAGATTTTACTTGCTTTGTAGTCTCTGCACTTTTTGCACTATTCTTTTTTCCTGGAGTATAGCATTTGTCACATTCTGTTTGAATCATTATTCAACAGTCTTCCCATTTGCCAAGTTTTTTTTTTTTTTTTTTAACGTCCCCATTGGCTAACAACTGCCACATCATAAGTACACCAAACATGTTGAATAAATAAAATTTTTCTCTAAGAGCTTAATAATTTCCTATGGGAGACAGATGTGTGGGGAATTGTAATTGTAATGTTTAGATTGCATTTCCCAAATACCAGCCACTGTTCTAAGTGCTCTGCAAATCCCTATGGTAATGTTAGAAGGTGAGTGCTATTATGAGCTCTGTTTTGCAGATGAGGAGATTAAGCAACTTGCCTAAGATCATCCAATTGGCAAAGTGGTAGAGCTAAGTTAATGGCTAAGTTAAGCTAGGTAGTCTGGTTCCAGTGTCTTCTCACACTCCTTTCCATAATTTATTCCTTTTCCTTAAGACAGAAAGTGATGGATACCATTGAAACTAAATTGTTGAAACTAAAATTGTTGCAGTTTTGGATATGGGTGAATGATGGTGTAATGAGTCCTATACTAGAAAAGTATCCTAAGGTCAGATTATCCAAGACCACACTCAGAAATTTTGACTATTCTAGGCAGTGGAGAGCTGATGAGATTTTTGAATAAAGAAAGAAAGTAATTTCCATGAAATATAGTGACTAGATGAACAAACAGGAAGATTGGCAAGAATCTGCTATAGAAGTCCTTTGAATCCAGGACATTGGAAACACTCGGGCCTTCCAGCTGAATATCAATCACATCCACTTCTCCCCCTCCAGATACCCTAAGACATAGTAAAGAGACAAAAATCAGGAGCAACAAGACACACATGGACAAAACAGAAAGGGAGGAAGCAATTTTGAAAGTTAAAAGGTAAGTAGATGATTAATAACTGACTTAGCAGACCCAAGAAAACTAAATCCTCAGTCTGATACAGGGAAAGCTGAAAAGCAGCCTGATTAACATGGTGGATCCCCTGAAGGCTCAGGAGTTTAGAGGGCACCACACAGTTGTTAAGCAATATCTGCTGGAAAGTCTGTTCAAGAAACAATCTCCTGCCCTATTCTGTGTAGCTAAAGCTCTATTCACTGTTCCCCCCGCCCCCCAGCAAAAAAGAAAAAAAAAAAAAAACTTAGCAGATTAGAAGCCTATTTCCCAAAGAGAGTAAACCAGAGAATCTTTGGATTAGGGAGACACCAGATACAGCTGAGAATAGGAATAATAGAATGAAACAGAGGGACTCAGGAGAAAATGACTTCCCTCTCCAGCATTCTCCCAACTCCTGTTCCCAGAACACTTCTAATTGCAGACAAGAGCCTAGAAGAGACACTTCTGGGAAATCTAATTAAGCCAAGAGAAAATATCTAAAGATATTGACATAGGAAGGGGAGGGGGACCCCCAAAGAAATTATTTAGCCAAGTCACCCTACTGTGAAGCTCACAGTTGCAAACCTCACCCTGTGTAGAGATGTAAGTGCCCCATTCTTACAAATGATTGAAAAATGGAGGATCGTCAGGCATGGGGTGGGGAGTAGGGAGTACAGATATGAAAAGCTGAGGCCAAAACAAACATGAAACATTAAACAGGAAGACGTTAATCTATCAATATCCTCAGAGTAAGAGATTGTAAAGAACATTACATTTTAACAATTGAAGAAAAATACTTCTTAGAGTAGCAAAAATGCAAAACTGATTTAGAAATTTATACAATTAAGTTGAGGAAATATAGAAAGTCTAGAAATGGGACAAAGAAATTAGAAAATGGGATGAAGAAATGATAAAATCTAGGGACCAGCTGATGAGTTTCAATAATTGAGAAAGTAGGATAAGGACTGGAAGAGGAAAAGTACAAAAGAAATTTATGAAAAGTCTCCAGAATTAAAAGACTTTGAGTCTTTAAACAATGCCTACAAATACAACTGGAAAAAACATTAAATTTTACAAAGGAAGGAGAATCCACCTGAAACAAGGAGCCATTTTTCCCTTGCATAGCTAGGATGCTGCTACTGCTATTTTATTTATAAATGAAGTAAAATGCCTTGTGAAGAAGAAAATGAGATCTGTTTTCACCTGAGTGACTAAAGGCACTGTGACATATGGTGATATCCAGCAGACAAGTCTTTTAAATATCAGGAGGGCAATGTTAGAACAAAATATGGGCATCATTTGCATATAGATATTATGAAAATCATAATCCCTGAGGGTATATATAGAAAAGGGTATATATAGAAGCCTGGATAGAAGAAGGAAAATGAAAGAAATTTGGACAGCAGGCAAACCAGAAATACTAGAAGGAAATGAGGAGAGGAACAGTAGGATCAGGTCTGAGAAGCTACTGAAGGTTTGCACCATTAGGTGCAAAGTATTTGAAGCATTGGTGCACTTGAGAGAGCACTTTTAGTTGGACCCAAATGTGCTGTGCAAGGTAGAAGGGAGAAACCACAGGGACAGTGATTTTCAACTAGTGTTTTCTGTACCATCTGAATACTGAAATTTTGGGTGGCATGTTTGGAATGTCAGAAAGGCTGGAAACAATGCCATCCAAGTCAGAAACAGTTTTTATAATGATCACTGAAGATGTTCAGTTCACAAGTATGAAAAGGATTCCCTATAAACTGATTTGACCTGCTGCCCATCCTCCCACCTCTTCCTGGGTATGTGCTGGGCCCACACCCACCAATGCATAATATAACCCAGTGGTGCCACATTTGGCGGACTTGGTCTGCCCAGATATTTGGATATATGACCTAAATATCGAACATCACTTATGACAGCCTATAATGTTGCCTTGCTTTATTAAAATGGTCATTTGAAAATTGTATTTAATTAAAATGTCTTAACTATGTTTTCATAGATCAGAGCAGCAAACAAATTCAAAATTTTTCTGATTATTCTAAGGAAATAATCAGACCAAAGCCTTTACAGTTATCACAGTATATCACTTCCTATTGCGAAGCTCACTAGTGTAGTTACTATGTAAGGCACAGGAAAAACCAACAGTGATCCTTTTCTAAATTTGCGGTTGACCATGAGCTATGCCAAGTGTAGATTAAACTATAGACTAGTTGCTTAGTGCATTGGGTAAAATACATGTTGTACATAGCCTGGGTTGCTTGTGATTTTCCTTTTCAGGAATTCTGTTTTCAAAGTACAGTTCTCTGGTACTTGGAAGCATTGAGAAATGGCATGTGATATATGGATTTCCTTTCCTTCCAATATCCTTGTCAAGAGCCTACTTAATCATGGAAGGCAAGGTGGTAGGGTTTAAAATACTAGGTTTCTGTGAAAAACACTTCTAGTAGTGCTGAGTTGCATATCTGTGTGTTTTTTAAGTGTTCTAAGTCTCCCACCAAACACAATTCTCTTTTGAAGTCCAGGAAAAGTAAACACACAAGTGTACATTTGTGATTGCTAGTGACTTTGTTTTTTAAGTTATTTAATACCTTATAATGAAGGGCAGTTTTTCCAGAGCATCACCATTTAGGTTTATCTTTTTCCCCCAGTACAGGGATATTGAACTCACAGGTTCTCTATAAACTGAGCTAAATCCCCAGTCCTTTTTATATTTTACTTTGAGACACATTCTAGGTTGCTGAGGTTGGCTTCAAACTTGTGATCCTCCTGCCTTAGCCTCCTGAGGAACTAGGATTACAGGAATGCATCACTGCACCAGGCTTACTGGGTATCTTTGTTTTCTGTAGAACACAATGAGTAGTAGAGCCTACTTGCATAAAACAGAATTGGATTTTTCTCTATTCTTTTTCCTGTAAATTGTCTTTAACTTTTGTTTTCATGATTTTGCTAGTTTTCTCCATGATAAAGAAAAGGTTTCCTTTACCTACTAGATTGTGACAAGTAAATCATTTTTGCTACATTTAGTATTCCTTGCTTGGATATGGTACGTGGTCTCTTTGAAGGAGCAGGTACTGGGAATTGAACCTAGGGCCTCATGTGTGCTAGGCAACTGTTCTACCACTGTACTATAGCTTCAGCCCCTGGCATGTGCCCTCTTAATTACATTTCACTTTTAACATGCCCAATAAATGATTTGATGATCACCCAGATGGGAAGCTCATTGATTAACTGGAAAATAAAATTAATTAGCAACAACTTCTCCCCTGTACAGGTGAATTTTATTACAAATTAATAATGGAATCAGAGAATATTTGGGAATAATCAGAAATAGCTGCAGTCTCTGAAAAGCCTATATGGGCAAAAGAGCATGCCAACACATCTCCAGGTGGGGATTTGAAAACAGATCTGAAATGAGCACTATGTACTTCCTGGATTGGCAAGGAGAGAGCAACCTCCAGGATTCCATCAGAGGCTTTTTTTTTTTTTTTTTAACAGCATTGTGAAAAGTAAACAGTGCTGCTTATTTAGTTCTTTAATAGTCTGCTATGGAGGATGACAAAGAGCCACCTCCAGAGACAATGTGTCATTTCAATTTGCTGTAGGTCAGTGGTGACATACCCACTGTGGGAGATTGGATTCACAAACACAGCAGCATGCCATTTGGAATAGTGGTATGTAAAACAGATGATGCTGGAACCCTTATGCAGTCAGTAGTGTCCACCTGGCTCTGCTGCTTGAGCTGTGAAGAAGGAAGGAAGGAAGGAAGGAAGGAAGGGAGGGAGGGAGGGAGAGAGGGAGGGAGGGAGGGGAAAAGAAACACTGTAGTATCTAGAGAAAAGAGCATTGGGATGAGGCTTTCAGATTCTACCTGGATATTGTGTCACTTTTAATCTGAATGTTTTAGTATGATTACTTTAGTTTGATCACTTAAAAGCAGCACATAACAAATGGAATTTTTATTATAAATGCAATCAGCTTTTCATTGAAGCATAGCATACATGTAGTTAGCCTTTTAAATTATTTTTCTTGTCATTAATTAACATATTTGCTGTATGTAGATACAAACCAAATACTGAAATGAGGCATTTGGCAAATACATATTGAGATTGAACACATTAAATGAATTTTATTCTAAAGGTGAATCCATGTTAGTAGAAATGAAAACCAGATACGAGCTCTTTAGTTTTCCTACTACCTGATTAGATCCAAGGAAGTGTGGAAGCTGGATCAGAACACTCCTCCACGACTCCCTGATGCCCATCCTGTCATTGGGCTCTATATCAGAGGTCAGCAACTACAGCCTGTCACTTGTTTGATCAAGTTTTACTGGCCCACGAGCTCACACATATACAGGAAATTCCATATTTTCCATCTTATTTTATTCTTACTTGATGTTTCCTTTGTTTTCTCTTGGGTTACATATGGATTGTTAGTAATTTGTATTTATCTCCTTTAATTATTTGGAAAATATACCTGTTTGTCTGGGGATTTGTTTAGAAATTTATTTTTGGTGATACTGGGGAAATCAAACCCAGGGCATGGTCCATGCTGGGCAGGTGACCTACCACTGAACTACACTACACCCACCAGCCCTTTTTAAAAAATTATTTTGAGACAGGATCGCTGAGTTGCCTGAGTTAACTTCAAACTTGTGATTCTTCTGACTCAGTCTCCCAAGTAGCTGGAATTACAAGTGTGTGCCACTGTGCCAGTTTTCATAGATTTTTATTTTAATCAAATATTCAGAAAAATAAGCCCTTCACTTCATTGCTGGAGATGTTTTCAGTAGCTTCCATTTGTTTAACTTCTATTTATCAGTCTGTCCTGTTAATTCAGCCTTCTAATGAGAAATCTCTGCTAAGGCTTGCCAGCTTAGAGAGTGCATGGATGCTAAAAGAATTATTCTAGAAAACCTTCCCCTTCCTTCCCTTACCTCGGGAAGCTGTAGACCAGTTACAATGTTATTTGCCCTCTGAAGAGATTGTGTAATGGCTCTGGGTTTCCAATCATAAAACATAACAGCTTCAAAGCCACCTAGCTGAGCAGCCCAGGCTAGTGGCTTAGCCCCTTTAAGCCCATATCACCAAGTCAACTGGCTCATCAAGGTGAGTGTGGCCCAGATAAAGTACCCAACAGGAAAGAGCAGCCATAAAGGAAGCCGCTACCCCTGGGCGCATGGCCTGACCCGCTGGGGTCTCCCTGCACCCACGTGTCCAGCGCCCGGCCTGGGGCCTCTCCCAGGATGCAACGGGTGCGACCGCCTCGCGGGCTTCGAGGAAGCTCCGTGGCCTGAGGACAGGAGGAGAAAGGTAAACCCAAGGATGAGCTGGGGCCTGGCCAAGGGCACAGCCCTGCCCACTCTGGTTCAGACCACCACCAAGGCTGAGAGTCCCTGTCCCCGCGCAGGCCAAGACTGAGTCTCTGTCCCCTCACAAGCCGAGCGCAGGTCCTGGGACCCTCTGACCAGGAGCAGGCCCAGCAGGCCATGTCCTCAGGGGCTGGGTCGCCGCCCCTCTAACTGCAGCCCTCACATAGTCAGCCTTAAAAAGTCCATTAGGCACGTCTCAGGACTTGGGTGGCCAGTGGTTTTTCATCTTTGCTTTGCCTTCCCAGGTATTTGTGATGCGGAGTAGAAAGAAGGGTGGCTGGGTTACCTCCATTTTTTTTTTCTGCACGTTATTAACCCCATCTAGTTAAGGAGAGAGCTAGTCTAGACGTCTGCTGGGTTCCGAGGCATTCAGCAGGGAGCCCTGGAGCCTGTGTGCAAGTGGGCTGGTGGTCTGAACTGGACTCTGTGTGCCACCAACATCTTTGTTACCGCTGGCCACAAAGCCTTCTTTAAGTAGGGCAAGTGAAAATTAATATCTTTAATCCATGAGTCTAAACGAACATTAAAAACACACCCTTTGTTTATTCTAAAATTCAACAAAGTTATCAAGGCCCAGTATGTGCCTAGGACCTACTAAGATTCTGGGTGTTGGAGTCTCAAAGATGAACAAGATACCCACTGTCTTGTTTGTAGTCATAGTTTGGAGACCTAACTCACTCTTGGATATTTGCTGCTCACCCAAAGTTTTCTTTTGGGACTGGGACTCAGGGGTAGGCCCTGGGTTCAATGTCTAGCACCTGCATCCCCCTGCAAAAAGAAAATGTCTTTAAATCAACTAGAATGACATGTAACATGTGGAGTTGTATAAAATGTAAAGCAGCTGATGACACAGTGTAAATCATGTGTCATCACCTACTAATAGGTCATGAAATCAACTTAGTGGGTCCAAACCAAAGTTTTTTAAATTAAGGAGTCAGATTAAACTAGAATAGGTAATATAGACAATAAAGTGCATTATAAATAACATAGATAAGAATAGCATTATATATATATATATATATATATATATATATACACACACACACACACACACACACACACACACACATTTATGTTAACTCATGATGTAAAATGTACTTACTGTAGTTTACAACAAAAAATTAAGTTATTTGTTTGGACCAGGATAAATATGTTATATATATATACAAAGAGGTTTTTCAGTAGTGATTACTTTAAATACTAATTATTTATATCATTGGATATGTAGAAGAGTCAAATAGTATTTTTGTCCTAATTAACTTCATGTTTTACATTGACTTTACATAACATTAATATGGCATGTGTTCTGGTGTCTGATCCATCACATTAACTATAGATTATTCCTGACACTTAAGGAATGAAATGGCAGAATTTCTCCAATATGTGAGATCAGTCACTCTGGTGGTTACTGATTATGGAAGCTGTAAGCCATCATTGTTACCATAAAAATATGCATGACTTAAAGATCACCTCTACTATTGCCATGTGTGACCATACAAAGAGCTTCACTTTACACTGTCCCTGCCAAAACCCAGTTAAAAAGTTGAACAGTTCAAGAATTTTCTGGTCTGATCCAGTTATTACATTATTTTTCTCAGAAAATTTAGGACCTGAATAACAGTCTTGAGACTGTTATTATTGACAGATAATTCCATTTCAGCCTTGTTAAATTAAAAAAAAAATTAAAGTTTGGCAATTTAATGATTATTATAATAATTATTTTATATTTTGTATTTTTACTTATTGATTGACTCGGTTAATTTTGATTTTGAGGACTTAAGTAGCTAAAAGTTTGGACTATATTTCTAGGAGAGAATTTCCCTCCATGCTATTTATCCTCTGTTTAGTGCAGACATTCGGTTGTAAGTGGCCAGTATCCCATTTTGCTCAATGGCCCTGCAGTAGTTTAACATGATCAAGCAAACCATTTTTTATTTTAACCATGCTTACTGAGGTCATAATGGCTGTGATGGGAGCTCCATGCATGTCTAAATGAATGAGCATTATAGTTACAAAATATTGATCTAAACATATGGTGGCATGTATTATTAGTTTTTAGTATACTTAATTTTTACACGTGGTCGATATGATGAGAAGATAGTTTTTGATAGGATTGTTTCATGGAAGCTATGAGGCCTCCATCAGAAAAGAGATAAGTGAGTAGAAATCATCCCTGTTATAGGCAACATTTTCCAACAACACCCAACAGTGAAACAGATTAGGTGACATCTGAACTCCTAATTCAAAACCAGCCTAATGCAAGAGAGTTTCAAAAAAAGATTCTTTTTCCTAATTTAAGTTCTAAGTAGAAGCTAGTAAGAAACAGATCATAATCAACTCGTATGTGGTGTTTTGTTCGTATCCTTTAATGCCTTCTAAAGTATTGGACCCCTCATACTTGCCAGGAAGCACAGTTGACCTGTTGATAATCTCCAGCAGAGGGAGAGTGGGTGACTGCCCCCATTCAAGGGAATGGGCTTGCTTTTTCCAGCCATAGCCAAAGCTGTAGACTCTAAGTAAGTAGAAAGCAGGAACCACATCTGTCTTATTCACTGAAAGTTTCCTATAATTGTTGATTGAATTAAATATCATGGAAAAGGGCTGGGGTTATGGCTCAGTGGTAGAGGGCTTGCCTAGCATGTGTGAGGCACTGGGTTCGATTCTCAGCACCACATATAAAAAAAAAAAGTCCATTGACAACTAAAAAATATTGAAAATCATGGAAGAAGGAAAGCAAAAGAATAAAGTATATAAAGCTTAAAACAGAGGGTGAGATAGTGGATAACCATCAGATAAAATAATAGTATAATACTGTCCTCAGATAAGAGTATGTTTTCATACTATGATATACATAAAATGTCTTCTATAAACCCTGTAATATTTTTGGGAAAAGATCTGATTTCATAGGGTTTATGGCCTCTTGGGAATAAGGCACATGCCTGCCTGTGTGTGCATATGAACACACACACACACGCACACACACACACATCATCATCATCTGATCAAGTGGTATTACAAAAGTAATTTGTGCTATACTATTTGTGTTGTACTATGGGGCTGCATATAAAATGAAGTTAAGGTGTGATTAAGTGTAAAGATTCAAGAAAGAGAAAGGTTGATTTGATAGGCAATGTGCTAGAGGAAATGGCAGGAGCTTGGATAAGGAGAAATCACAGATGAGGCATGAGTCAAGGTCAGAGCTAGAATAGCTCCTAGTTCACTGAGGGGCAGCTTAGTATTGGGGTATGATGGAGAATAAGGTGGGGATCATAATTCTGGCATCCAGTTAGGAAATAAACAGTCAAAGAGGTTTAAATTTAATGGAACTTGTAAAAGAAATCATAACTTCTGGGCTGGGAGTGTGGCTCTGAGGTAGAGCAC